ACAGCACAGTCCAGATAGAAGAGTTATGCATACCAGAAGGCACGTGATTTATCATTTATGGTGGGCGAGAACGTTCTCTTGAAAGTCTCGTTGATGAAGGGAATCATGAGGTTCGGGAAGAAGGGCAAGTTGAGCCCAAGGTTCATAGGCCCATTTGAGGTATTGAGACGAGTTGGGGAGATTGCTTATGAGCTTGCTTTCCTCCCAGTCTATCTGGTGTTCATCCGGTTTTCCACGTGTCTATACTCCGTAGGTATCATGCCGACAGGTTGCATGTGTTAGATTTCAGCACAGTTCAGTTAGACGAGAGCTTGGGTTATAAGGAGTAGCCAATTACCATTGTTGACAAGCAGGTTTGCCAACTGAGGTCCAAGAAGATTTTTGCGGTAAAAGTTCAGTAGAGGGGCCAACAAGTTGAGAAGGCAACTTGGGCGGCCGAGGAGGACATGCGGAACAGATATCCACACCTATTCAGCACTCTAGGTATGATTTTAGACTCGTTCGAGGACGAACGTTTGTTTAAGAGGTGGAGAATGTAACGACCCGACCGGTCATTTTGCTTTCTAGATCCTCGTTCCCCTAAATAAGACTCCCCGTATGTGCTTTTACTATTTTATGACTTGCGAGGATGGTTAGTTTGGGATTTGGAAAGGTTCGGGTTGAAATCAGAACACTTAGTTCCTTAATATTGGCTTTAAAGGGGTAAGTTTGACTTGGGTCAACATTTCTAGTAAGCGACCTTGGAACCGGGATTTGATAGTCACAATAGGTTCATATGTTGATTTTGGACTTAGGCGTATGTTCGGATCGAGTTTTGGATGACCCAGGAGCATTTCGGCCCAAAACGTTGAAAGTTGGCGCATTCAAGGTTTAAAAGTTCTTTAAATTTGGTTTAGAATAGGTTTTGGTGTTATCGAGGTTCGTTAGGGATTCCTAGCATGTGAATAGTTATGTATGGTGATTTAAGACTTGCACGCAAAATTTGGTGTCATTCCGAGTAGTTTAAGTATGAATCGGCGTGTTCGGAGTAAGTTGGAATAATTTGAAGTTCATAAGTTGATTCTATTGGTTTTGGGTTACGATTCTTAGTTTCAATGTTGTTTTCCGCATTCCGAGGGTGCGAGTGTGTCCATTTTATATTTACAAACTTGTTGGTATGTTTGGACGAGGTCTCGGGTGCTACTCGGACGTTACACGGATCGAGTTAGAGCTCAAAAGGGGCTGCTGGTGCACCAGTTCTGGTGTCCCCACACATGCGAACTTTTGGCCACAGGTGCGAGCTCTTTGCCGCATAAGCGGCTTTGGGAATTCGGCCAGTGGTCTGTAGAAGCGGAGAAACATGTGCAGAAGTGGCCTCGCTTCTACGATAAAAGGGTTGCAGGTGCTAGGAGGCCGCAGATGCGCTCCACCCTCCGTAGAAGCGGGACCGCAGAAGCGATATCCCGTTTGCAGAAGGGGAGCCAGCCAGCATGGGCTAGGACCGCATCTGTGATGATTTTTCCATAGGTGCGGCGCCGCATATGCGGCCCTAGGTCCGCAGAAGCAGAAATGCTGGAGGCAGTGAGGTCCTTTTTAATACAGGACTTAGGCCATTTTGAGTTCATTTATTGCATTCCTTGGGCGATTTTCGAGTTCTTAGAGAGAGGGTTTCACCTAGCTATTGGAAGTAAGTAATTTCTATCCAATATAAGTTAAATACATATATTATGGGTAGATTTTAACATAAAAAATTGTGAAAATTTTGGGTTTAGATGAAAAACCTAGGTTTGGATAAAAATGGGATTTAACCACGAAAATGGTCATGGGATTGAGTGAAAATTATATATTTGAGTTTGTGAGGTTATGGGTAACAAACGTCTTCGAAAGTTTCTGGAATCTGGGCACGTGGGCCCGAGGGTGAATTTTAGAAATCTTCCAATAGGGGTTGGGTAATTACTCTAATAGTTAGAATACGAACTTTCGAACATGTATTGATTAATTTATATAATATTTCACTAGTTTAGGATTGTTCGACACCGAGTTGAGGCTTTAGAGTGAATTTGAGGCCGGAAAGCGAGCTTTGAGACAAGGTAAGTCTCTTGTCCAACTTCTTAAGAGGTAATTTACCCCATAGGTGATTTAAATTACTATGTGCTTCTAATTGTGGGGGCTACGTACGCACGAGGTGACGAGAGTCCATGCGTAGCTACTAATTAAGCTTTTGTCTGGGTAGTTTAGGACCCAAATCATGAAATATTTGTAATGTTTGCACCCTACCTGTTAATTTAAGTGCCTAAATTATATTGGAACTTGATAAAGGAATTGTAAAAGACCAAATTTCACTTACTTGAGTTTTAGCGGGTTACTTGACCGTTAATAGAAATTGTATTTTTTTGTGTATTAGCCTTGTAATAACTGTTAAATCGGATGTTCATAAAGTATCATCTCTTCTTGTGGAGCGGGCCGAATGACTCGGCAGTAGATAGATGCATCTATGGTTCGTGCCGAACGACCCTCGACAGTGTACACATTATTCTGGATCGGGCTGTACGACCTCGGCATAATCGTGCGTGAAAATGCTCGGAGTTTAATTATATTTGATATTATTTTATGGCTTGAGAGGTTAAAATTTCATATGACAGAAAATGACTTGGGATTTATCATTAGTCAAATAATTATTTATTTCCTGCTTGTTATTGAGTTAATATTATTATGTACATAACTCATGCTTATTTAGAATTTCTGTATTTTTATTGTTAGCACATAGTAAGTGTCGATGTCGACCCCTCGTCACTACTTCTTAGAGGTTAGACTAGATATTTACTGGGTACATATTGTTTATGTACTCACGTTGCACTTCTGTACTAACCGTCAGGATCTGAGGCAGGTGCATCTGGCAGTCTTACCGGTGCGCCCCCCTTTACCCTAAGGCCTAGTGATGAGCTGCTTCCTGAGCCATTCTGCAGCACCTAGAGTGCCACTCAGTTACTCATATACTTGTGACACCAGGTCTTGGCACACATACTAGTAGACTTTATGGTTTTGGAGTACTTATATCACTATGAGTGCCACTCTGTTGTCTTCGTTTTATTTATTAAATTTTCTACTCCTTAATAAATAGAATTTAATTACTTGGAAACTTATTAAAAAGAGAAATAATACGGATTAGTTCACCATTGGCTTGCCTAGCGGCGACATTGGGCGCCATCACGGCCTATAGGGGAAATTGGGTCGTGACAACTGCATAGTTATGTATATCCTTGCATCTATTACTAACTTGTTTGATTCTTTGTTTCATAGCAAAAATTCAAAAAATGGCAGCTAACGATGTCAACATTGCACACAACGTTGAGGCTCACGCAAATCTTCCTTAACACGAGGATTCAATCAGTAATACCCGCAACGAGGGGGACGTTGCAACTCCAGTCCATGGCGGACAATATCCCCGACATGTGAGGGAAATGACTCCTGATGATGTTGAGGACGAGCATGTTGCGTAAATGGAAAGGATCTTGAGAGAGAAACAAAAGGCCATCATGGGTCATCTCTCAAGGAAGGACTAGATGATGACGAAACTAAAGCAGGAGTTATCAAGCCCTCCTTACAACGCGAACGGAAGAGGCCCATCTCCCCCCGGTGCTCCTACAAATCAAATGGCTTAAAGAGTTGATAATAATACCCCGAGGGGTGATGTCAGTTTCGACGGAGCCGGGAGGATTGTTAGAGAATCGGTAACGACAACGGTAATGATCCATTCAAAATCGAACTCATGAGATTCATGAGGGAAATGAACGAGCGGATGGATAAGAACAGGAAGGATTTCCATGCCTGAATGGATCAAATATTGGGCGCACCACCAGTTTTGAAGGGTCTGATTTCGAAGAAATACATTAGTTACCTTTTAAGCCGAGCGCAACACTAGAATTGATTCCGAAACTGTTCAAAATGCCAGCCATACCAAAGTACGATGGGACTTCAGATCCTTAGGAGCATATCACAACCTATACAACGGCGGTGAAAGAGAACAACTTGGCTCAACATGAGATTGAGTCGGTTCTGCTCAAAATATTTGGAGAAACCCTCACGAAAGGGGCCTTGACATGGTATTCGCTTTGACCCAAACATTCAATTGATTCTTTTGAAATTCTCGCAGATTCGTTCATAAAGGCTTATGCCGGGGCCAGAAAGGTCCAAGCTCTGTAGGCAGACATCTTCAGGATCGCACAGGGTGAGTCCGAATTACTGCGGGAATTCATCAATAGATTCCAGAAAGAAAGGATGCTACTACCGGCCATACCAGACGAATGGGCAGCTGAGGCATTCACTAAGGGTTTGAATTTGAGGAGCTCCGATGCCTCCCGAAAGTTGAAGGAAATCCTGCTCGAATTTTAAGTGACCACATGAGCGGATGTCCATAACAACTATGAATTAAAGATAAGAATATAAGATAATCAGCTCGAGTTCCCAACATCAACCAAGGGACGGGACCGAGACAAGAAACAGGATAAATTCAAAGATGATTTTGAGGTAGAGCGGCGATCTTCTAAGGTCCGATTCTTGACGTACGAGAGAGCCGAAGGATGCGACAACAAAGGGTTCCGGTCCGTGTATAGGATTTCCCTGATAGAAGACATGACCACGGCTGGAACAACATGTCATTACAAGACAAAGAGGTACCGTGGTCCTGGGATTCCACTTATCCCAGGTTGTCAGAGTACAATTTCAACGTTAACATCGTGGAGTTGGTATTGGTGATGAGGAATATCAAAGAGACACAATTCCCGAAGCCAATCATATTCGATCCCATCCAAAGGGATCCCAACTTATGGTGCGAATATCATATGACTCATGGCCACAAAATCGAGGACTGCCATTATCTGCACGAGGAGGTGGCAACGCTACTGAAGAATGGCCATCTTAGGGTATTCTTGAGCGACCGAACCAAGAACAATTACGGCCGCAGCCGTGATTACACATAACCCTCGAAGATAGGGGAATACCCTCCTCGGATAACCATCAACATGATTTTTGGTGGGAATGAAATCAATGGTGTAACCTTTTCGGCGGCTAAAAGGACAAAAGTATCAGTAACCCACAACAAGAGACTCCGAGAAGTCGCCGAAGATAACATCACCTTTATGGAGGATGATGCCGACGGACTTCTTCTGTCGCATAACGTCGCCCTGGTAATTTCTCTTAATGTTCTAGATCTTAATATTAAACGTGTTTTGGTTGACCTAGGAAGCTCAACCAACATTATTCAATTGAGAGTGTTGGAACAAGCCAAATTAACTGGAAGTATCATTCCGGCGACAAAGCTCCTCACTGGGTTCAATATGACAAGTGTGACAAGCCGAAGGGATATCTTGCTGCCCACGAACGTTGATGGGGTCACGAAGACCACCTTATTCAAAATGGTGGATGGTGACATGGGCTACAACATAATCCTCGGTAGACCATGGTTACATGAGATGAAGGCTGTACATTGACTTATCACCAACTGCGAAAATTCCCAACCCTAGGGGGAATCAATTAGATAACAGGAGATCAACCGGAAGCAAGAGAAATGAATGATGTGTCTTTTTCCAGCAGTAAAGGGAAAGAACCTAAAAAATATTAATTACAGGAACCAATGCCTACTCCCGAGCCGACCGAAGATAATAAAGACGAGGGGCATAAGAATACCAGTAGGTACCGTGATACTTTCAGGTACCGAAAGAGACATACGCAACCAAGTCCACGACGGAAGAGCTCGAGCAAGTAACTTTGTTTGAGGAATTCTTAGAGAAAAAATTTCACTTGGGAACAAGACTCAATCTCGAGCTCAGGTCAGGGTTTATTGATTTTTCTTAAAACTAATGTTGATTGTTTTGTATGGTTGCACTCAGATATGACAAGTATCCCGCTAAAGCTGGTTGTGCATAAGTTAAGCTTGGACCCAAACATCCCTTCGGCGAGGCAAAAGAAACGCCCGATAGCCGAGGTCAGAAAAAAGTTTGTTAAGGAAGAGGTAACTCGATTACTTGACATCGGTTCAATACGGGAGATAAAGTATCCCGGCTGGCTAGCTAATATAGTTGTAGTTTCAAAAAGGAATAACAAATTTTGAATGTGCGTAGATTACAAATACTTGAATAAGGCATGCCCTAAAGACTCGTTCCCACTGCCAAATATTGATCAAATGATTGTTGCAACAGCCGGGCATGTGTTAATAAGTTTCCTCGATACCTATTCCGGGTACAATCGAATTAAGATGAACTCAGAGGACTAGGAAAAGACTTCGTTCATAACAAACTTTCGCATATATTGTTATAATGTGATGCCCTTCGGGCTGAAAAACACCGGATCTACTTATTAGAGGCTCGTGAACAAGATGTTCGAGAAACAAATAGGTAAAATAATGAAATTCTACATAGATGATATGTTGGTCAAGATTTTGAATGTAGGTGACCATTTAAAGCACCTCCAGGAAACCTTCGATATCTTGAGGAAGCACAACATGAAACTCAACCCTGAAAAATGCGCGCTCGGGGTTAGCTCCGGTAAGTTCTTGGGTTTCTTGATTTTAGAAATGGGGATCGAGGTAAATCCCGACAAGATCAAAGCCATCGAGGACATCCCAGACTAGTTGACAAATGTGAAAGAAGTCCAAAGTAGGTTAATCTCTCGATTCTCGAAAAAATATCATCAATCTTCTCTTTTCTTAAGAAGACGAACAATTTCGAATGGACTCCAAAATGCCAACAGGCCTTAAAAGACCTGAAATGTTACCTATCGAGCCACCCATTACTATCAAAGTTGGGGGAAGGCAAACAACTGCTAATATACTTAGCGGTCTTTGAGGTAGCGGTAAGTGCCATTATAGTTCGAGAGGAAGAAGGTACGCAATCTCCTATTTATTATGTTAGAATTTTTTTTCAAGATCGAAAACTCATTATCCACACCTCGAAAAACTGGCCTTAGCTCTCGTAGTCGCCTCTCGAAAGCTTAGACCTTATTTCAGTGCCATCCGATAACCATTGTGACAACCTTTCCCCTGTAAAATGTCCTTCACAAACCTGAGTTGTCAGGTCGCTTGGCCAAATGGGCAGTTGAAATTAACGAATTTGATATTGAATATAAACCTAGGACTGCAATCAAATCACAAGTTTTGGCTGACTTTGTGGCCGATTTCACTCTCGGGTTACTACCTTTGGATGCAAAAGAAGCGGTGATGGTGTCAGAAATGACATAAGGAGTTTGGACCTTGTTCACAGACGGAGTTTCCAACGTGAAAGGGTCTGGGCTCCGGGTGGTCCTAATAACTCCTTCGGGGGAGACCTTGAGGTAGGCCATAAAAATTGTTTCATTAACTAACAATGAAGCTGAGTATGAGGCTATGATTGCAGGAATTGAGCTGGCCCAGGGACTTGGCTCTGAGGTCATCGAAATCAAATATGATTCCAACTGGTAGTAAACCAAGTATATGAAATTTTTGAAACAAAGGAGGAGCTCATGCAACAGTGCATGATTAAAGTTCAAACTTTGATTTCACGATTTAGGGAGTGGTCGATCACACACATCCCGAGAGAAGAGAATAAAAAAGCAGATGCATTGGCCAACTTGGGGTCGTCTACGGAGATGAAAGGATCTGACTTCGGTACTATCGTTCAACTTATGCATTCGGTACTGGATGTGGACAACTATTTGAAGTAAACACAACCAACCTAGTTTGGGGCTGGAGGAACGAGTTCATTGATTACCTTCAGCATGGCAAGCTGCCTGAAGACCCGAAGGCATCCCAGGTACTTCGAACCAAAGTGGCTTGTTACAGCCTCTTGGGTGGATAATTATATAGAAGATCATTCCAAAGCCCGTTGGCCCGATGTTAAGGATCCTTGGAGGCAGACTACGTAATAAGAGGAGTACATGAAGGAATTTGTGGGAACCACTCGGCGCAGATTCGTTGGTGCTAAAATTGGTTAGGGCAGGATACTACTAGCCCTAGATGGAACAAAACACAAAGGCATTCGTTCAAAAATGAGATAAGTATTAGCTCCATGCATAGTTGGTGCACTAACCGGCTGAAATCTTGCATTCGGTACTATCTCTAAGGCCGTTCATGAAATGGGGAATGGATATAGTTGGGCCACTGCCACCAGGTCCCGGGAAGGTAAGATTTCTTTTACTTTTAACTGATTACTTCACTAAATGGGTTGAAGCAGGTCCTTACCAAAAGATCGGTGAGCGCGGAGTGGTCGACTTTCTATGGGAAAACATAATTTTCCGGTTCGGGATACCAAAGGAGATTGCCTGCGATAACGAACCACATTTCATAGGCTCCAAAGTCACAAAATTTCTTAAAGATGTGAAAATTAAAAGGATTACATTTTCACCATACCATCCAAGTGCAAATGGGCAGGTGGAATCAACCAATAAAGTGATTATTCAAAACCTCAAAATGATGTTAGAAGCAGCCAAAGGCAAGTGGCCCGAAGAGTTACCGAGCGTATCAGACAATGGCAAAATCGAGCATGGGAGAGACACCTTTATCTCTCGTATTTGGTGCAGAAGATCTGATCCCGGTGGAAGTAGGAGAACCGATCTTAAGGTACTTTCAAACGGATGAAGAAGAAAATAATGCGGCATTGTTGGTAAGGCTAGAATTTCTTGATGAATGTAGGGACTTGGCACACATAAGAATGGTGTCTCAGAAGCAGATGATGGAACGGTACTATAATCGAAGGACCAATCTCTACTACTTTAAAGTAGGAGACTTGGTTTTGAGGAAAACAACTCAGAACACTCGACAAATCAACGCCAGGAATCTAGGTCCAACGTGGGAAGGCTCCTACTGGGTTTCAACTGTCATCGATAAAGGTTCATACGGGCTGGAGAATCAAGATGGAGTCAAATTGTCTAGAAAATGGAACGTGACTCACCTTAAGAGGTACTACTGCCGATGGATCCTGCCTACGCTGAAAGTTTGTGCTGCACTCTTTCTCCCTTCGACCAGTTTTTATCCCAATCAGTTTTTTCTAGCAAGATATTTAATGAGGCAGCAATGGAAAACATACTACGAATGGAGCATCATCAGCAAAGTTAAGACTTTTAAATGATAAGGCATTGAAACAACAAGCCATTATGGGATGGTTATATAATCTTTGGCTCGATGGCAAAGTCCCTAATGGGTAAACGAAGCTTTTCATTGAACCAAAGATTATCTAACCGCTCACAAGTGTTTTTCCTCAAAGGAGTAAGACTTCCAGTGTTCCAATTCGTATACTTTGCATTCGAACACTAGAGGGGAATATTATGGGAATATGATAACAAGATTGCCACGATACTTGGGATTATGAGACTTGGGAACAACAATGTCTCATTGGAACCGGGGACTACACAACTTGCCCCGTAGAAACAAGTTGTACAAGTTAGCCATATGTATTGGCAATTTCATTTTTTCAGCAAACAAATGCTTATGTATTTTGAAGATAAAAGGAATAAAATGAAGTCCTTTTATTTTTATCTTGTTTCTTGTCCAAACGATGAATTGATTTTATTATTTGAAAGTTAACTAAAAACTTCAAATGCTAGTGCTGAAATGAACTGGAGACGTCCTCTTTAAGAGCACTGTAAACATAAGAGGGCCCTCTCTTATGAAACCCTCATAGTAAAGGGTTGGTTCCGGAAGAGCTTATGCCCGGAACCCAAAAGTTATCGAAAGAAAACACACACGAAGCCTTATCTAATTCGACGCAAAAAGAATGAACCTTGCGTAATACTTAAACAAAAGTCCTATTTATTTATCAAACATGCTAAATGACATAATTACAAAGACACACAAGGAAAACAACAAAAGAAAAAAAGGCAAAAAGCTAAACTTCATCGCCACCGACACTCGAGGGAAGAGAGGCATCTACGCCCCCAGGAGAAGTAGGTGGATCTACCACCGGCGCAAGATCTTGGACTTCATCATCATTCTCTTGAGGTTCCTCCTCGGTTCCCGAAAACTCGAAATTGGAACTAGAAGAGTCAGTTGCATCAGGCTGAGGCGGGAGGCATTCTCGAGCAGTTAACTCCAGCGCTCGAGCCTTGGCGATCTCATCGTCACTATCAATAACGTCCGCTTTGGCCTCTTCCAAGGTTTTCCTTCTCATATGGTACATAGAGTATGTTTTTTCAAAAATGAGGGAATGCCCTTGGTGCTGAAATGTTGCCTTAAGCCTGCCGACCTAGGCCAAAAGGCAATCTCGCTCGGATCTTGTGACACCAAGGCTAAGATCGAGATCACAGAGTGTAGATATGTGGACCCGATTTTACTACATGATCTTCTTATACCTCTCTTCCATCCGGGCCTGCCTTTCCTCAGCGGCAACAACCTCTTCGACTTTATAGTTCAAGGTGGCCTCTAAATTATACATTCGTTTGGTGGAGGCAGACTCGCGCTCAGCAGCAGCGAGCACATCATCTTGGACCTCAATCCATTTAGCCTTAGCTTCTTGAAACTGTA